ACACGCATTTTACCCATATTACACTAATCAGAACACGAATATCAAAACAACTAATTTTTTTTCGTATTTCTTGATTCCGTTTACATTTTCGAAAAATCTGTAGGCCATTTACTATTATAATTTGGTGTCTTTTTTTTGATGTAATACCATTAGTGGACGTTAATATTTTTAGTGGGCCCAAAAATGATTGTCCCCTTTTTGGTTTTAGGCTCATAATAGAGAAACGGCAAGATTTAAGTGAAAAATGAGATATTATTGATATAGGAAAAAAGGTAGCGCAACAGTGCGCACGAAGCCCGAAATTGCAGAGTTACGGAGAACTAAATAAAATACCGAAAAAGGTAGACTCCATTGACACCGATTTAAAAAGTGCTGATATCGTGAAAATACGATGTGAAAATGATTTGTTATTGTGTTCTTATGGTTTAAAAACGTTACAGGATCCTACGAAAATAAAGGTGATGCAAAATATCCAGTTTTGAGGCTAACGCAGAAAATCAAAAACAGAATGGAAAAATAAATTTAAAATAGTGTAAAATGATATGTAAGTAGCACAACACAACACTACACATTTTCCACGAGCTTGTCATTCATATCGTTCACTGCATTGCAATCTTCTAGGCACTGAAAGCGGTTACGTAACTCGAGCTGAAAAGACTCGGGATTCTGGATTAGAGCACGAGGGGGACGGAGCGTTGACTTCATTAGACGAGACCTCTCCAACTTAACCTTTAGGTTCAGTGTGCCTCTAACCATTCGGTGATCGCTGCCAGTTTTCACCCTTGCGATCACTGAGACATCACTGAACAGTTGGCGTCTTGTCGTCATAATGAAGTCAATCTCATTTTTTGTCTAACCGTCGGGGCTCGACCAGGTCCACTTCCTGTGGGGCCTCTTCTGGAAGAAAGAGTTCATCATAAAGAGTCCCTCTTTTTCCATAAAGTCAGCCATCTGCTGGCCACTACGGTTCCGTTGCCCTACTCCAAATTTCCCTAACTTCAGCTCACCGCCTTCTCTTGTGCCTAGTTTTGCGTTGAAGTCTCCCATCAACACCGTGTAGTGGGTTTTGGAGGAATGCATGGCTTTGGAAATATCCTCATACATTTCCTCCACCTCCTCATCGGGATGTGCCGAGGTTGGTGCGTAAACCTGTATGACCTTCAGCGAATACCGTTTGGTGATTCTGAGTATCAGGTACGCGACCCTCGTCGACACACTCCCAATCTTTACAACGTTGTTGACGAGAGACTTGGGGACGATAAATCCGACACCTCCTTGGGACAGATGGTCGCCCTCCCGGTGATAGAACAAGTTGTCGGACTCGAGGATTACCGTGTCCTCCCCCTCTCTTCGGATCTCAGATAATCCAATAATATGCCAGCGCAACTTGTCTACCTCTTCTTCCAGCTCCAGTATCTCTTCGTCAGTCCTCAGGGTGCGTGCGTTATACGGTGCCAGGTCGAGTCGTCGTAGGTGGCAACCGAACCTCCACCGGAGTTTCTTAGCACCCCCTGCCCCGCCGTTACCATGGTCGCCACCGTAGCCAGGAATAGCGGGGCCGCCGGGGACTGGGGGCCGTTTATTTGCGTCGTTGCTCATGGGGGGATATTTGCCATAGTTGCCACGTTTGGCGAGCGGGTTGGCAACCGCAGTTTTTTTTTGTCGTACAGTTGTTATTATCAGAAAGACGCTGCTGCCCTTCTCCTGCCTGTCTCCCTCTGTCGCCTCTTACGACACCCACGGGAAGATATGGGGTAGTGGATATTCTCAACCGCCACTACACGGCAGACTCTGTTTGATATAAGAAGATAAAATTAAAACGCTATGTGATTTTAAGATTATTTAAAATGTTCGCATAATCCAGTGTTACCTCGATTAATTTTTCAGGCTTACGGAATAATGGATTTGACGCCATTGGCCGCCATTAACATTTTTTTCCGTTTGTTGCTTGCGCATTTCTATGTGTAATCTATTGTGAGGATTTCCATGGAATTCAAAAGCCTTTTCATTGTTAGTGCAGACATGAAACAGACTTAAATTTTCAATGTTGATTTAGAGATAGAGACTATTCTGTCATAAAAGAATTGCTTTATGATAGAGGTGTAATATGCTACGCTACTTTATTGGTAACTAGCCTGCCCCAGCTTTGATGTATTAATTTATATTTTGTCCCAATAATTTAAAAAAATATAAGTTAGATTGAACCTGGAACACTGCGTTCCATTCGTTTGTGAAATTTCATTACAATCGTTTGAGTCATTCCAATGATTAGCTTTACTGACAGAAACACAGACATAAACTTGAAAATGGTTATTCATGTTTAAATGGCGAGCAACTAAATACCTTTAGCTTAATAAAAAGCATTTATTTCGATATTACAGACACACACTTAAATTTAATTTATATTTAAATATATAGATTAATCTCGTAAGCAAGAGAGCGCGTGGGGGCTCCGGTGTGTGGCGGCGTGTTGTTATCATTACCGCAGCGTTACAGCGCGTCAAGAGCGCTGCTGAACATAGGCCCTTCCTATAGATCGCCTCTTTGGATGGGTATTTATCACAGTTGCTATGTGTGCCAAGTGGATTGGTAATCACGGTTTTTTATTTTTATTCAGGTGTTATCACAAAGATGCTGTTGCCCGTCTCCTGGTGTAGCTATGCTCTGTCTCCTCATACGACACCCGCAGGCTGATGTGGGGTAGTTAGTGGATTTTCTTACACAGTTACTACTCGGTGGATCGTAGTATCACGGTTTTTATTAACTTGCCTTCGCATATGTCTGTTTGAATAGAATTTAGTAATTTATTTTAAACTAACTTCCTGAAAAGCTAGAGACAAGACCAGGTAGAGAAAAAAGTCCAGTATCAAATAACAGTGTAAGAATATGAAAAAATGTTGTATATTAAAAAAATCACGTGTGCAGTTCACGTGATAGGAGTGTCACTGGGAACACGCACTAGATGTACATAGTTTTGATGTTTTGAGGTATGCCTGACGAGAAGTTTGTGACCTCTCGGTCGAAGTTGGTTTTACCTAGTCGGACTATTTTCCCAGCTCCCGACAACCAGCGGCAAAGGACATTACACATGACTTTTATTTCGTCCATGTTCATCTTAAGACCTATCCGGTGCGAGGCACTATTGAGGTCATTGAGCAAAATGCTTACATCCTCCAGCGATTCTGCCATAAGGACTATGTAATCAGCAAATCGAAGGTGGGTGATGTACTCGCCATTGACGTTAATATCTTATCCTTTCCAGTCCAATAGCTTGCAAACGTCTTCCAATGCAGCAGTGAAGAGTTTCAGGAATATTACGTCACCATATCTTACACCTCTCTGCAATTGCATAGGTCTCGTACTCTGGTATACAGTAAAAGCTCCTTATTCGCGCTTCCTTCATTGGCGTTTTCACTATTCGCGACCATATTACACATACTCAAGACAAAGTGGCAGATTGTATTCTTTGAAATTCTGTACATTTTCTTCTTTACATTCGAAGGGTATGTATGTAGTCTATGGTGCTAAAGCCTTTTGGAAAACCGGCTTGTTTGGGAGGCTGAAAGTCGTCGAGTCTGCGTGCCAGACGATTCTCGAGTAGACGCGGCTCAGAAGGAAAATGGTCTGTAGTAGAAGAACAAGACCACCGCACTTCTGCTTCAAGCCTCTGGAGTAGTGCCACCATGGTATCGCTTTTCCACCTGCTTTCAGAAGCTCCACTGTAATTCCATCCTCGCCCGGGGACTTGCTATTTTTAAGGTGCTGGAGAGCCATTCTAAACTCGCTCAGACTGACGTCCGGTATATCATCGGAGTAGTGTCGGATAAGACTTGCTCTTGGATCGTTACACTTGCTTGTGGCACACGATGACTTGTGCCCAAAGAACCTCTCAATCTTATTCAAAATCTCAGGTGTCCCGGAAACGATGCTACATTCGGCCTTCAGTTTCGACAGTTTGCTCTTTCTGGCAGACAGATCTCTGGCAAAGACTTAAGAGTCCTGGTTCCGCTCGATCGCTTCTTTAATACGAGCTGTATTGAAGCTACGTAAGTCCCGCTGCATGCATTGGGAGATGTGTTTGTTCAGTTGCTTGTATGTTGTCAAATTTGCTGAAGACTACAGTTTAATTTTTCGTCTAACAGCCATGAGATTAAAAGTACGATCGAAGAATTTTTGTGTTCTTCTGCAACAGGTGTTAAAGAACTTAGCTCCGATCGCATAAACAGTTTCCACAAGTTTGTCATTCTTATTTTCCACTTCATTGCAGTCTTCTAGGCATTGAAAACGATTTTGTAACTCGAGATGAAGGTTTTCGGAGCCTTGGATGCCATTGCTATTGGAGCACGAGGGGGCGGAGCGCTGACTTCATTAGACGTGATCTCTCCAACTTCACATTTAGGTTCAGTGTGCGTCTCACCATTCGGTAATTACTGCTAGTTTTCACTATCGCGATCACTGAACAGTTGTCGTCTGGTCATCATAATGAAGTCAATCTCATTTTTGTCGAACCGTCGGGGTCGACTAGGTCCACTTTCTGTGGGACCGTTTTTATTTTCGGGGTTTCGTTGCCCTATTCCGAATTTCCCTACTTTCAGCTCACCGTTCTCTCTTGTGCCTAGTTTTGTGGTGAAGTCTCCCATTAACATCGTATAGTGGGTTTTGTAGGAATGCATGGCTCTAGAGATATCCTCATACATTTCTTCCACCTCATCATCAGGATGTGCTGTGGTTGGTGCGTAAACCTGTATAATCTTCAGCGAACTATACACGTTGTATTTTATTGGCATTTGATTTTTAACTTAGATAGTTATGATCAGACGACATCTATATTTTATTTCAAAAACCATTCAAAATTCATTAAAATTATTGGCCTAAAGAATTAACAGTAGGTGGCGATATTGCAAACCAATTTTACTCGCAATTTTCTGAAGGTTACACTTGTACCGTGTTTGGACTTCTCTATAGTTATATGGTAGTTATTAATTGTTTTTAACGTGCAGGAGCGAATCGAGCGGCAAAACGTGCGTGAGTGGTGGTGCTGGTGGTGAGGCCGGCGTGCGCGTGCTGCTGCTGTACGCGCGCGACTGCGCACGCGCAGTGGCGGCGGCGCGCAGCCTGGCGCGCCTGCTGCACCACGTCGCACCGCAACGGGTTAGTCAACCACATTCACAATCAAGCTTGTACACTCCTGCATCTTGCAGAGGGACATTACACTTGACTGATGGTAAAAATTGACCAATCTTCTTCAGCGGCTTGAAGTATGTTTTGATGGAAGCGCGCTTCAAGATGTAGCCAATCTTGTCAGTGACTCCTCTAACATATGGCAGTACAGCAGGTACACGCTCGACTGTACAAGCTTGATTGTGAATGTGGTCTCTCCTACATAGGACAAACTAAAAGATCAATAAAAACCCGCGATAAAGAACATATAGCTGATGTGAAGAATCGACGCTCCGGGAAGTCTGCAGTCTGTTAACACGTACAGGATCGCCCCCGTCACTACATCAGATTTGATAGACCACAAATCCTCGCTAAAGAACACCGATTCCTTCCAAGGATGATTCGCGAGGCTATTGAAATCAAAAAACATCCTAATTTCAATAGAGAAGGTGGCTGGGTTCTACCATCTGCTTGGGATCCTATAATATAAATCCCAACCCAAGCATACAACTGCAAGACTTCAAGATACCATAAGTTCATACTGCATAGATCGGAACAAAAGTTAAATTTTAATCTATGGTAACCGCGGTTAACTATGACATATGGACGTTGAACATCTCAGTCCCGCCCGTGACCGTGAGTGCTGTAAAGCGTTCGAAACGTCGGGTATTTAAAAAGTTAAATATACGCGATAAATTCCGTAAAAACTAGTATTATTTCAATGTGTAGTGTTCGCGTAAATATAAGAAATCATTATGTAAACCAGTACGGACTGGTAATTGCAAATAAAATACACCGATTAGAAGATCTAAAGACCAAGCGCGCAAGATACATAACAGCTTTAAATTTCTTGAAGAGATGCAGAGATCATAATCTCATTCCTACATGTGTCAAGATATCCACTAAAAAAGACATTCGAGGAAGCGCTAAGATCTTAAATCAGGCGAGTAAAAAGTTGTTACGGACGGTAATCCAACAAAAACGCTCCGATCTATATGACATAAACAAATCCATAGACACATCATCCAGTGAATTAAAGAAAGTTTTAACGACGTTTGACTATAATTTTTGCATGGAAACATTAAATAAACGCGAAATTAGTAAATATAACGAATGCAAAAACAAACATATAGAAAAATATCAAAAATTAACGAACAAGTCAAATGTCAAACATCTGAATCAATACCAGAACCGAAAGCAACCATTGACAAACACAGATCATAGATTAAGGACGCGTTTGCAAATCAACCAAAATTAGGGTGTTTTTCGGTAGATTTTGTGACAAAACTAAACCAAATCAAATATAAGTAAAAACTACCATGTATAGATTGGTTCTTCATCTGCAAACGTCTGTAACTCTTTTGTTGAAAATAGTAGTTTTTTATATTGTAAAAACGATTTTTCGCTACATGTTTTGGTCTATTATCAACATATTTAAAAAATTTAAAAAATACTATAAGATGACAGACATATTCAATTAAAAAACCCTGGGTTTAAAATGTCACAAATAGTCGTAAAAAAATAAAAACTGATGCACATTTTTTCACATATTTTGGTAATACGGATGAATCATAATCTATTGCAATAAGGGCTATTTTATTGTTGGTGCCTGCTTTGATTTATTGTACAAAGATTTCGATGAAACCACAGTCCGCGCTCGGCCGCCGTCGTGAGTGGACACTGTATCGCCTGTTTGCAGCGGCTCATTCTGAAAAGATCGCTGTACATACACAAAATATTAGAAAAAAACAAATTGGAAACATAAGTACTTGACAAGTGATAAAATTATTATTTTTATACTCACAGTTTTTTATTTAGCTAAAAATAAGTAGGATATATAAACTTACCTACTACTGCAACTCCTGGACGAGCGGAACTAGGTGTGCCGAGTTTGGGCTCGTTTTGTTGGTTATGATGAGACCTTACCTCTGGACTTGATGGCGTGACCTGAAGGTGTACTTTCGTGACCGCTATTTGAACTTCTTGCAGAGTAAAACTAGGAGTAGCGAATTTGGGCTCCGTTTTGTTAGTTATGACGATTCCGTACCTCCGGACTTGATGGAGTGACCTGAAGGTGTAAATCCGTTACTACTTCTGGAATTTCTGAACGAGTAGAACTAGGTGTGCCGAATTTGGGCTTCGTTTTGTTAGTTATGACGAGTCCATACCTCCGGACTTGATGGAGTGACCTGAAGGTGTAAATCGGTGATTGCAACTGGAACTCCTAGACTGGTAGAACTAGGTGTGCCGAGTTTGGGTTCGTTTTGTAGGTTATGATTAGACCTTACCACCGAACTTGATGGAGTGACCTGAAGGTGTAGTTCAGTGATTACAAGTGGAACTCCTAGACTTGTAGATCTAGGTGTGCCGAGTTTGGGTTCGTTTTGTTAGTTACGATGAGACCTTACCACCGGACTTGATGGAGTGACCTGAAGGTGTAATCAGGTGGTTACAAATGGAACTCCTAGACTAGTGGAACTAGGTGTGACGAGTTTGGTTTCGTTTTGTTAGTTACGATAAGACCTTACCACCGGACTTGATGGAGTGAAATTCGGCACACCTAGTTCTACTGGTTCAGAAATTCCAGCAGTAGTTACTGAATTACCCCTTCAGGTCACTCCATCAAGTCTGGTGGTAAGGTCTCATCATAACTAACAAAACGAACCCAAACTTGGCACACCTAGTCCTACTAGTCTAGGAGTTCCACGTGTAATCACCGAACTACACCTTCAGGTCACTCCATCAAGTCCGGTGGTAAGGTCTCATCATAACCAACAAAACGAACCCAAACTCGGCACACCTAGTTCCACTAGTCTAGGAGTTCCTGTTGCAATCACCGATTTACACCTTCAGGTCACTCCATCAAGTCCGGAGGTATGGACTCGTCATAACTAACAAAACGGAGCCCAAATTCGGCACACCTAGTTCTACTCGTTCAGAAATTCCAGCAGTAGTTACTGAATTACCCCTTCAGGTCACTCTATCAAGTCTGGTGGTAAGGTCTCATCATAACTAACAAAACGAACCCAAACTCGGCACACCTAGTTCTACCAGTCTAGGAGTTCCAGTTGCAATCACCGATTTACACCTTCAGGTCACTCCATCAAGTCTGGTGGTAAGGTCTCATCATAACTAACAAAACGAACCCAAACTCGGCACACCTAGTTCTACTAGTCTAGGAGTTCCACTTGTAATCACCGAACTACACCTTCAGGTCACTCCATCAAGTCCGGTGGTAAGGTCTCATCATAACCAACAAAACGAACCCAAACTCGACACACTTAGTTCCACTAGTCTAGGAGTTCCTGTTGTAATCACCAAATTACACCTTCAGGTCACTCCATCAAGTCCGCAGGTAGGTAAGGTCTTATTATAACTGACAAAACCAGGTCAAAGTCCGGAGCTAACATCTCACTACCAGTAGAGGGCTTCCAGTGCCAAGCAGTCTTTGGAGCAGGTATTCATATTTCGTATCGAAGTATATTTCTGAGGTAGGTATAAGAAATGAAAAACAAATTCAATCTTTCAAATTATCAAAACAATTTCATTTGACTACGATTCCCACAGCCAACCGTGCGTACACTAGTGTGTGTGTGACTTTTGTCAATGTAGTAGTGCGATTCTATACCTATCCATTTTGTAAACGCATCCTTAATCGCGCTCTATAATCTGTCAAAACAAACACTGGATGATGCAACAATTAGGGTTTTATCCAAAGGCCTCAACTTTGCTATTACACCCCGCAAATTACCGTACGAAGAAATTATCTGTAGTGTCGAGGACTGTTTATTTAAAAACAATATGCGGAAAGAAGATTTGGAGGCGATACGTCAAGACATTTCGTCTGTGTTACGTCGATGTTCAGTGCCTAAACCGAATCTTCCCAACGACGAATTTATAGCGTTAAAGAACCTACGCAATAAACACGAACTTACGATTCTCCGCGCAGATAAGGGAAACGCCACGGTAGTCATGGATACGTCAGATTATAATTCTAAAATACAAGAACTTTTGTCGGATGTAAGTACTTATAAAAAGGTTAAAAACGACCCAACAAATAGCACACTAAAAACAACTAGTGACCTCATAAAGAAACACTCCGAAAAATTAAATCTGGACGTAAAATGGATAATACCTACGTGCGCCAAATCACCAAAATTGTATGGGTTACCAAAAATACACAAGCCCAATGCTCCATTACGTCCCATAGTGAGCCAAATCGATTCACCAACTTACAGATTGGCTCAACACTTAGCGAAAATACTCTCACCGCTCAGGGGACATACAAGAGCACACATAAAGGATTCCTACCATTTTGTCAGCGAGATTAAAGACCTACATCTGGCAGACAATGAAACTATGGTCAGTTTTGATGTGCAGTCATTGTTTACATGCTTACCTGTTGAAGACTGCATCTCAATTGTAACTAGAAGGCTGGAAGAAATCAAAATGCCCGTAGAATATGCAGTATTACTCAGACACTGCCTTACATCTGGCTACCTATTGTGGAAGGAGGAGTTCTACAAGCAAGTAGATGGTGTGGCGATGGGCTCATCTGTATCTCCCATTGTAGCCGACATATTCATGGAAGACTTTGAGGAGAAAGCCCTGCTTAGTTCTCCTATAAATCCAAGATTCTACAAGCGGTACGTAGACGACACTTTCACAATTCTACCTTTAGATAAAGTAACTGCATTTTTAGACCATCTTAACTCTATAAGTTCTAAAATTCAGTTCACAATGGAGTTAGAGGCAAACAATTCCTTAGCTTTTCTAGATGTGTTAGTAATTCGGAATCTTGATAACACCTTGAGCCATACTGTGTATAGAAAAAAGACCCATACAGATAGATATTTAAACGGTGATTCTCACCACCATCCTTCACAGTTAGCTACCGTGGGTAAATCTTTGTTTCAGAGAGCACGAGGGATCTGTGACAGTAAACACCTGGCTGCCGAGCTCCACCATGTCAATTTTCATGACAACAAGCTTCGAGTCCCGCGCCTACGTTACAGTGAACGAGTGAAGCCGGCCACAGTCGAGCGTGTACCTGCTGTACTGCCATATGTTAGAGGAGTCACTGACAAGATTGGCTACATCTTGAAGCGCGCTTCCATCAAAACATATTTCAAGCCGCTGAAGAAGATTGGTCAGTTTTTACCATCAGTCAAGTGTAATATCCCTCTGCAAGATGCAGGAGTGTACAAGCTTGATTGTGAATGTGGTCACTCCTACATAGGACAAACTAAAAGATCAATAAAAACCCGCGTTAAAGAATATATAGCTGATGTGAAGAATCGACGCTCCGGGAAGTCTGCAGTCTGTGAACACGTACAGGATCGCCCCCCGTCACTACATCAAATTTGATAGATCACAAATCCTCGCTAAAGAACACCGATTCCTTCCAAGGATGATTCGCGAGGCTATTGAAATCAAAAAACATCCTAATTTCAATAGAGAAGATGGCTGGGTGCTACCATCTGCTTGGGATCCTATAATAAATAAAATTAAATCCCAACCCAAGCATACAATTGCAAGACTTCAAGATACCATAAGTTCATACTGCATAGATCGGAACAAAAGTTAAATTTTAATCTATGGTAACCGCGGTTAACTATGACATATGGACGTTGAATATCTCAGTCCCGCCCGTGACCATGAGTGCTGTAAAGCGTTCGAAACGTCGGGTATTTAAAAAGTTAAATATACGCGATAAATACCGTAAAAACTAGTATTATTTCAATGTGTAGTGTTTGCGTAAATATTAGAAATCATTAAAATTCTAACATTTTCATTTAATGTGACAAATTCATCGTCTCTCTGTATATTTGTCTAGTTTTAGTGCAAGTAGAGTTACATGAAGTTTCCACTTCAATGATATATTAGTTGTTTAAATTGTATTATGACATAATATATTATAAATTGTATATAATTGACAATGTATTTTAGAACAAAATAAACAAGCTTGTTGTTACTGTGACACTGTGTTGGCATGTGCGTAACAAATAATGTGAGTTGAGTTGCGACTAGCGACATTCGGTGAGCGTAAGATTGGAAGCGTGGTTGATGAAGGTGTGTATAACGTTGCGCAGGTGTACTCGCTGTACTCGGGCGAGGTGTGCGCGATGTCGGGCGGCGCGCCCGCAGAGTGGCTGCGCGCGTTCGTGGCGCGGGCGGACGCGCGCGTGGTGCTGCTGCAGACGCCGGCCGCCGCCTGCCTGTGCGCCGCGCAGCTGGTGCAGCGCGGCCGCGCGCTCACGCGTATGTCGTTTGACAAACTTGCTTCTTCCCACACTGCACTCGCTTTGGACACCAAGCTTTTGGTCAATACCCTTTTTTATACAATATGGGTGACAAATAAACACACAACCCTCCTGATGGTAAGTAACAACTATGGTTTATAAATATCTACAATCATTCTCAATTTAAAATCAAAATGCTGAGGTGTTGTCACCGTGCTCCTCAGGAGACCCTTTTTACTGGAAACATACCTTGTTTCCAGTAAAAAAGGTTTCCGGATCTCTAAACTCATCATTAAAAAGACAATATTATTCTGTTGCTTTACAATGATTTTCTGTGAAAACGTTATCCTTCCAGTCGACCAATTTGTGCTACAGCCATAATATAGATGCCACGTACACGATACTCTACAACGTATAAAGTGGTATCCCTTGTGATTGCAATGTGTGTACAAATTCAATAATAGTCGTATGATGTTTACTGTGTGCAGTGGAGCAACCACTTCTTGGGCGTGTAGTGGCCCGAGAGCCACATAGTGGAGACGCGCTACTGCGGCTAGCATTGCGTCTCCTTAGCGAGGCCGCTGCCACACCTGTCTGTACCACCGGTGCCACTGATACTGACAACGCTGCCACTGTCACCGCCGCACATCCCTACCGCAAATATTACATTGCCTCGTGAGTACACGCTTGCTAATTTTCACTCATTGATAATCTTTATAATTAGACCCTGTTGTACAGGAATATGTCAACCCACAAGAATAAAGTCATTCAATTTTGGATATTATTATATTATATGAAATATATATATATATATATATATATATATATATATATATATATATATATATATATATATATATATATATATATATAGACATAAATTGGATTGGGATTACTTGTTATTTATATATTGTATACTTCGAAATGAACTGAAAATGATCTTTCTCTAAATCAGTGAATCCCAAAGTGGTCTATATCGACCCCTATGACAACCTGCAAGGGGTCTACGTCAGCGAAAAAAAATTTGAGGGTCCATGAAATGAAAATGGGGGTCCACGATAGTGGATCTCAACACATACACTGATATTACCAATATACTTACATCATACTATCTTATAATATCAAAACATATACATTATTTATAAAAGATTTATAGTTTATTTTATATTTATTTAATGTTACGTATATTTTACATAACAAATACAAATTTTTATTTTGAGTAGTGTTAATTTAAATTCAATTGATAAATGTATAAATTAACATGTGTTTTTTTACTTTAAGTTTTTAACATTAAACTTCACTACAGTTAGAAATTTACAGGAAATCAATATCAGGTAAGCAGGGGGTCTACCCAACACGGAAAAACATGGCAAGGGGTCTACGACACAAAAAAGTTTGGGGAACTCTGCTCTAAATCGTTATTTTAACCAGTGTCTGAATTCGATAATTTCTGCACAAAATAAGCTGAAACCTCTAAACTGACCTCTATACATGAACTGGCTATAAACCGTCACATAATGACGCGATTTATATTTGACAGTGGTGTGGTACTATCGTGACGTCACAAGCGAAACGCACTTAAGCCTTAAATTACGCTGTCAATGTTCCGAATTACTGCACTATATATAAAATAGCTCTCTACTAACAGGGAACATCGGTCGCTCCCCGAGTTGAACACATTGCCCAGTGGAAGATCTGCCCTTGTCATTCCACGGCCCAAATCCAATTGTAAAATTTCTCGGGGAGCCCATAGGATGGAAGCTTCTAAAGAAGCGTTTTGTGCCAAACTCCATCGAAGGCCTTCGCTATGTCCAAAGTAACGACAAATGCCTCCCTCGTGTACTCTACTTAGTGATAAGCAAAGCAAGACCAAGAACAAGACAGTGTTGGTATCGGTCTCGGTCTTGATCTTATCTCGCTCAAATACTTCTTGTCTTGGTCTTGAGTATGCAGTTTTGGTCTTGCTCATTCAGTCTATTACTACTTACGTCGTTTAGAATTTAAGAGTTATGAAAATTAGAAAAACTATATAATACCAGCTGATTTGTGATCGCTAGGTCATCATATAAGCTGGTAGTTAATAATGTATTCCATTATTTTGAGGAACAAGGAGATGATGGTGATAAGCCTAAGCGTAGTTGGAAGGGTCTAAGCGGTCGCCTTTTTAGGGATTGGATGCACAAAGGCTGTCTTCCATAAATAAGTTCAGCGTTACGTCTAGGGAGTAGAAGTACCCGAAAAGGCGCGTTAGAACTGGTGCTAACTCCGCTTAACGGTTCAACACAATAGGAGAGACTCCATCAAGCCCACTCGACTTGTTAACGTCCAGGGAGGGGAGTGCTTTGCACAGTGCGCGCTGTATAAACCGCACGTTCATCATGGAGCAATCACACTACGGGATGATCGGCGGTGTGTACCCCTGTCATCGAGAGTCAAGTTGGACTCAAAAAGAGTACGTAAAAGATCGACTTTTTCCTTTGAAATGGCTAAAATAAATTCTCTTGGACAGCCTTGACAAAACACCTTATAAAATAAGAGGTAGAGAAGAGAGTTTGAGCAGTTTAAAATCTTTGAATCATATTCAGCCAGGCAACGAAACACAAAGGGTACCAAATAATTTAAAGTCTTATTTGTACAATCTATTTATTATTTTTTGTATCAAAAATAAAGAAAGAGCAACAGGTACAATACTTAGGGCACCTTTATTTTATTGAGAATATTATACCAAATTTAATTCTGTACATAAGCGGTGCTCGCAAAGGCAAGTTTAGCGCCCCCTCGAGGCTTGCGCCCTAGGCTCCAGCCTGGTCAACCTGTGGGTAAATCAGGCGTTGGAAATATGCATACTGATGAAAAGAAATATCATTTTTGTTCTTAGTTTGTTTCCGTGAATCGTTTTTGTAGCTTAGCACTGCATATTTCACCACGTTAATTTAAAACTGAAATAAATACCGGCGAGAGAAATAATACATGCGCGCCGATCTTCCGTCACTAATAACGTCGCCCGTGCCATTTTTACTGATCTGATCGCGTGCGCTAACGCACGTTCTATAGTTTGCTTATACTCGTACACTAAGTGCTTGTCGATGGCGGGCGCTGTCACGAACTATCAAACACATAACATTTTGTGCAAGTGTTCACGTATAAAACGCAGGGTGCAATGGAAGCAACGGGCAAGCGGCGACTATCGTGTGCGGTGCGCTCGCGGCCGTATCAAACGTATGAAGTCGTTTGTGTGTTTTCACTAGGGTGGAGCGCCGTTGTATGAAAGAAATATTTTTTCTTATTTTAAATTCTACTAGCCCCGGATTAGTGCCTTATGACAAAAGTCAATTTACCTTTTTTTCAGCTCAATTGAATAACATCTTCGGCCTCCGCAGGGGCCTTAAAGTTTATTGTTTTATCGAAAAACTTTAGTACGTTTGGGCTAAGATAAATAATAAATACAAGTTAACTAAAGATCAGGGGATCAGGGGAACTGGTCGAGCCCCGACGGTTCGACAAAAAATGAGATAGACTTCATTATGACGACCAGATGCCAACTGTTCTGTGATGTCTCAGTGATCGCACGGGTGAAAACCGGCAGCGATCACCGAATGGTTAGAGGCACACTAAACCTTAACGTTAAGTTGGAGAGGTCTCGTCTAATGAAGTCAACGCTCCGTCCCCCCTCGTGCTCTAATCCAGAATCCCGAGACTTTTCAGCTCGAGTTACGTAACCGCTTTCAGTGCCTAGAAGAGTGTGTGGCCGGTGAGGAAGGACCTGGGGAGATCTCCCGCCGGGCAAGGTGTTCTGCCCGGGGAGCGGCCAACACTCCGTGTGATAGTTCGGAGATGTTCTATATATACTGTTCATGATTCGGAATGTTGATAGCGTGATTTAGGCTTCGGTGTGTTTCGGTGTGCTAGTGGCGAGACGACAGCGCCGCTACATCACCCCCCTGCTCAGACCGGAGGTCGATATTGCAGCCTCGTTGCCGACGAATGTGCAAGTGCCAGGAGATTGCCTTGTCTGCGGTGAGTCGAGAAGAAGGCAAGTAATCTGCGAGAGTGCCGTGAAGCAGAGGCGAGCAGTAAGACTCAGAGCCTTGCTGAACACTGTAGCGCAGAGTGTAGCTTGAAGGAACAGGAAGCATTATTATTCCAGTGCTGCGATGAACCTTGTAAAGCTAGATGGCTTGCAGGATATGAAGACTGCAGACGATATCTACACGGGAGCGAATGGGTGGGGTATTTTATGACGATGATGAAGCTTGAAGTTTCCGAAGGTTGTTGATATGTTGGTTGCGTGTTTAGATCACGTCGGGTGGTCATCACTGTGGCCGTGGAAAGAAAGGGGGAGATCTCCCGCCGGGCAAGGTGTTCTGCCCGGGGAGCAGCCAACACTCCGTGTGATAGTTCGGAGATGTTCTATATATACTGTTCATGATTCGGAATGTTGTTAGCGTGATTTAGGCTTCGGTGTGTTTCGGTGTGCTAGTGGCGAGACGACAGCGCCGCTACAAGTGCAATGCAGTGGACGATATGAATGACAAGCTCGTGGAAACTGTCCATGCGGTCGGAGCTAATTTCTGCAAGACCCGCCGCAGAAGAACACAAAAACTCTCCGATCACACTCTTAATCTCATGGCTGTTAGACGGGAGATGAGGCTGCAATCGTCAACAGATTTGACAGCATACAGGCAACTGAACAGACAGGTCTCCAAATGCATGCGAATAGACTTACGCAACTTTAATACTGCTCGTATTAAAGAAGCGATCGAGCGTAAACAGGGCTCCACAGTCTTTGCCAGAGATCTGTCTGCCAGAAAGAGCCAACTGTCAAAGCTGAAGACTGAGTGTGGCAGCATCGTTTCCGGGACACCTGAGATTTTGAGTGAGATTGAGAGGTTCTATGGGCAGCTGTACACATCATCGTTGGAGCCATACGCAAGTGTGAGTAACGATCCAAGAGCAAGTCTTACCCGACACTATTCCGATGATATTCCGGACGTCAGTTTGAGCGAGATTAGAATGGCTCTCCAGCACCTTAAAAATGGCAGGGCCCCAGGCGAGGATGGAATTACAGCGGAGCTTCTGAAAGCGGGTGGAACACCGGTACTTGAAGTCCTTCAGAAGCTCTTCAATTCCGTCCTCCATGGTGGCACTACTCCGGAGACGTGGAGCAGAAGTGCGGTGGTCTTATTCTTTAAGAAAGGCGACAACGCTCTCTTGAAGAACTACAGACCGATTTCCCTTCTGAGCCGCGTCTACGTGCTGTTTTCGAGTCATTACGAATCGTCTCGCACGCAGACTCGACGACTTCCAGCCTCCCGAACAAGCCGGTTTCCGAAAAGGCTTCAGTACCATAGACCACATACATACCCTGCGACAGATTGTACAGAAGACCGAGGAGTACAATCTGCCACTTTGCCTGGCGTATGTGGACTATGAGAAAGCCTTTGATTCCGTCGAAATTTGGGCGGTGCTACAGTCCCTTCAGCGGTGCCAAGTTGACTGTCGGTATATCGAAGTGCTGAAGTGTTTGTACAGTACGATGGCTATCCGAGTACAGAACCAGAGCTCGAAACCTATCCAACTGCAGAGAGGTGTAAGACAGGGTGACGTTATATTCCCGAAACTCTTCACCGCTGCGTTGGAAGACATTTTAAAGCTACTGGACTGGAAAGGATACGGTATTAACATCAATGGCGAGTATATTACTCACCTTCGATTTGCCGACGATATAGTCCTTATGGCAGAATCGCTGGAGGACCTTAGCACTATGCTCAATGACCTCAATGGTGTCTCCCAACGGATAGGTCTTAATATGAACATGGACAAAACAAAGATCATGTTCAATGTCCATGTCACACCTATGCCGTTATGCCTATGTAGTTGTTGGGAGCACTATGCTCGAAGTTGTTGACGAGTACATTTACCTGGGAAAAATAGTCCGACTAGGTAAGTCCAACTTCGACCGAGAGGTCAATCGACGGATTCAACTCGGCTGGGCAGCGTTCGGGAAATTACGACACATCTTCTCGTCAGGTATACCTCAATCTCTGAAAACTAAAGTGTACAACCAGTGCGTGTTGCCAGTGATGACTTACGGATCA